GCCTTTGTACTCATTAGGTAAAGCATTCTTTTAAGTTTAAACTAGGATTACATCAGAAAAGTGTTCAAAGAATCGTCATCAGCGCTCTCGTTGTCACCGTTGAGTTTTTTCCCCAACTAACATGCTTTCAATTCCTGGCCAGTAACCCAAAATCATCGCTTGTCCTTTTTCCCAATCCCGAAAAAAAAACAATCGACTAACGCGCAGAGTGCCATTCCCTCGTTGTGGTTTGCTTTCTTATCGCATGGCGTCCGGCCCGGATCCGGATTGATTGTTTTGACACCGGGAATGACTGTATATCGATTATTCCGCTAAATATCCACTTTTATTTTTTCTTTCTATTTTGAACGATACAAAAAAAAACACCTTCAACCTCCCACGAAATAACGGTTGCATCACAATCCGAAAATCCGAAATTGGTCGTATGTGCGATTGGTGTGTTGCGTTCGGGCTCTCTCTATATATTAGGTCGCTCGTAAATTGGCCATGGTTGAAGCCGATCTGGAGCGTGCTGAAGAGCGTGCCGAAGCCGGTGAAGGGTACGTTGTCACATGGTTCCGTGTGACAAATGATTTTCTGCCGTTTTCCTCTTTTCTGTTTGGTTTTGTTTTCTGTGTTTTGTCGTTGTTATGCCAGCGGACATAAAAATATATAGGTATATGTATTAACCAAATAATCTTGTTCAATGAGGTTTTCTTTGCGCTGACGTGCTGCATCGGAGAATGCCGAATTGAAACAAGAGGGGGAAAAGGTGCATCCGCCGAAAAATGGATTAATCATCCGGTAAAAGAATGTAGTAATTATTTCTGCGTGGGTGGTAGCGCCTTTTCTCACTCTTTCTTTGGTGCACACGATGTGTAGGTATGAAGCAATAAGCATGGAAAGAAATAATTTGTTCAGCGTTGTGTCTTTTCCAAAACAGGTGAATACAGTGCTCGTGGTACAAAGTGTGGGTGTGTGTGAAGGTGGAGATGGTTCATTTCTTCTTGATCTTTGTTGACTGAGCGTGGATACAATTGGTTAAGTGGAAAGTGGTTTGGATAGCCGTTGATGAAACTTGTGATTACGATTTGAGAAAATCATCATTATAGCTTTAAACGGCTTGCTATTAATGGGGTTGTTGAATGTGTTACATTGGAATTGCAAGCAAATGTTAAGTGTAATGAATTTCCTAATATGCAATTAAAATAAATTCGGGTCAAATTTATCATTGCTTCAGAAAATAGATTTAAGGCTCTACATGGCTGACATATGAGCGATATAATCTCGCATTCAACTTTTTAGTTTTAATTTTGAGTTGAACTTTAGGAGAAATTTCATTAATTACATTGAATTTAGGCTACCCAATAGAGGTCTTATAATTTAAGCATTTCTGTCTCTACTTTGATCCAACATGATTCCATGATAGGTGAGATTTATCAATGATTAATATTTAAGGGTTAGATGAATACCAAGGCCTAGCGTATTAAGACTCATCCAGAAAAATCACGTATGCTCTACCAAATTATGTAGTTAGTTTGTCTAGGTGTAATGCAAGTCGTGACAAATCGGCGTTTATCGTAATTGTTTACATTTAGCACATTTCCCCTTTCCACATGTTTGTCTAGAATTCATTTTTAGATCATGTACCGATAAATCTAGTGCAAATCAAACTGACCATGAAGGACATTCCTGGGCTAATGATGTTGAGTATGACTTGCTGGATCTACTGCAACTCTTGAGAGTGAATCACATTACAGAGTAAGATCTACCACATCAAACTCAGTTTAAACTAGTAGCGTCATGATCTGGTTTAGTTCATTTAGAATATTGTTTTGAGTGAGTACAGCTTTTGAGATGTCCAGAACACTACACATACATATTCGAGTAGGTATAAATTTTAAACCTAAACGAAATATGGATCTTTGCATATAGATTGGTATTGATTACAGATTTATTTATTACCGTGGTAGATCCCACGTAACAAATTCTGTTTTACCATACTCCTGTAGACTATGTTTTATGTTTTAATGTGCTAATCAAAACTCCCTCTAATGTGTAAGATGTGAGGAGGCAAGTTATCGTAAAGACCTAAAGGATGAATAGGAAAGTCTATAGCAGCTGCAGCATAAGTCTACATGACCACCCTCATAAATGTCCTCGTAGTAAATCAAGTCTTCCGGACTCACATCCGATATCGAATGCTTCCGGATTTGATACGTTGAGGAAATGTTGATAGTTAGACAGTTTCGATTCTCGCTAACCATCCGCTTCTTTTCATGTACTTTTCGTTCAGTTTGATAACGCGTATTCCAAGTTGGAAATCGATGAGTTAGGCAATAAATTTTGCTATCGGAAATGCTCTGGAACTTGTTCGGGAATTTCCCCCAAATTGGGTGCGCTGGGTCTTCTTACGAATTGATGAGACCAAAGACCTTGAAACATCCAAGATTCATTTGGGAAAATTTCTGATTTTGAAATCCTTTGTGAACCTTAAAGTGCTCCAAAGACTTCTTATGACAGTGGAGTCAATTTTCGCTAGAAGTTTGCTGTATTGCTCTTGAGCTTTACTGCAAGTTCACCGAACGCGATTTTGAAAAAAAATACAATATCCAAAATAGTCGAATGTGTGTAAAAATGTGACATAACACATACTTTTGCAAAGTTTCCTGCAAATCGGAGAAGGTCGAGTTTTAAATTTCTGATAACTATAAATACAGTGAACTCTCTACAACTCGATATTGAAAGTTCCATCGAGTTATAAAACTATCGAGCTAAAGAATAACAGTTCCATAGGAAATCACCACCGTAGTAGCTATGAAATTAATTTTACTATGGTCTTATAACTCAATATCAAGCTAGTGGACATTTAGTTGTGGAGAGATGACTGTAAATTATTGTATGTAAATCTTGTAGGCCGTTTGGATCGACACCAAGGCCTTACAAAACATTTAATTACAGTCTAAAAGTTCCAAGTCCTATAAGTTCAATAGAAAAAAAAAACTCAATCAATGAGAGATTTGCGTTTTTGTGAATTTGAGTAAACGGAACTCAAATTTGAGCCGGATTCAACGGCCGTGTGGAAGAAAATTGTCTGAAAACTGCTGTACTAAGTGATTAATTTCGAAGAGTATTCCAAGCACAGGTTCGAGATGAATTTTAAGCGAGTTCTGATGAAAATTAAAAACAAAACTCTAAGAAGAAATCTACGTTGGCCTTGAATTTTGAGGATAGTCTTAAAAAAATCTGCCTGAAAATCCTACGGAATCTGAGGATTGTTCCAAGTGAATATTAAAGAGGGTTGCTGGCAGAATACCAAACGAGATTCGAATTTGAGGATTTTGGCGGAATTCCGAGAATAATTCCAAGATCTTTCCGATAAGAAATTCATGAGAATCCTGATGGAATTCCAGGGGAATTCAGAGGAGCATTGCAAGTCTTTTTTCAGATGAATTCAGAGCAGCACTGCAGAGTAATCCTTAAGACATTTCTGAGCTGTATTCCTAAGTAATAATTTTGGTTTTATGAGGGTTCTGTAGACCATGGTTTAGACTCGCAGCATGATTGAAAACCTCGATAAAACTTTCAATGTTACTTGGGTTGCATGACAATTCTTAGGAAAATTCAAGTGAATTTCTAATGAATTTATTCAAAGGAACTAGAATTGTTGGGAGTATTTTGCAGATTTACTAAATTCTAATAGGTCTAGTAGGAGTTGAGTCTTATACTCGCGGATTACCCGAGGTTAGAGGGGTACATTGTCGAACGATAGATCAGGAAAGGAGCATGGAAGTGGGGTTTCGTTGTTTCATCAGAACGTTGTTGCCATTATATGAACGGTAGTTCGGTTCTAGATTCAACTTCGTCTTGGTTGTTTAATCATGGGATTGCACTTTGGTCTTCACTGCTTTACGCGATGAATAATTTATAATTATATTATATATGACGCTCCATGCATATAGCATCAGTATAGATTTGAACTACTTTCACAAACCTTGTTGGTAGCTATCTGCTCGATGTTTTGGCCATAGGTTATGGCCTTTTACATGGAAAAACTGGTCACACAGCCCGTGACCAGAGATAGGTCAATAGCTTTCGGTCACTAGTTTAGGTCAATAACTTGCGATGCGTTCTCGATATAAAGAACTCAGTTGACCAGAGAGCTAAATATCCATACAAAACACAAGCTCTATAATATTTTATATAAGTTTGATGTGACTGGTTTTGGTTGTATAGCAGTTTACTCAACATAAATTTATGGATTTGTATTATGGGTAGGTTACATGGAAATGGGAGTCCCCGGTCAGGCTTCAAATCAGAAGGCAACAAAGCCCAATTGCCATATCGGTTACGAGATTACTTTGAGCATTGCAGCACTGTATTCACTTGCTTGGAAAAGGTCAGTTTTCAGCCACCCTTTTCATCCTCCGCGATTCATCAGGATCACCAGCAGAACTCACCAGCGGACATCCCAGTTACAACAGACTGTATAGCTATTTTTGTACTAATCATATCAATTACAATCATTTAAATTAAAAAAAAATACAAGCTAGCTAGAAGATATTTTCAACTAACATAGTAATTAGGGTTCGGTTGAACTCTGCTTTGAAATGAAAAAAAAGTATTGTCTGTAAATTTGGCATCATCTCAAAACAGATCTTAGCCCGTCCCAAATTTAAACCTAACCTCAGTGTGAATTTTTCACTAACCTCGATTTTGTTTTTATCTCTCGATTCAAACCATCCGCTCACTCTAAAAAACGAACTGCGTCGGTGGTTTGAATTGTGTTTTTCATGCTACTACCGATCGATGTTGTGAACTCCGAACTCAACTAATCCAATACCTACAACAACAACAACAACACACACAATTTGCCAACATACAACCGCTGTGCTGCCTAACCAACCAATCTGCCACGCGCTGCCTGCCTGCCGTGTGCTTTACTGCGTGTTCTTGTATGTGTGTGTGTGTGCGCCATGACTGCCCGGCTGGATGCCCTTCTGGACGACCTGGACCAACAGGTGGCCCGGAAGCTCGTACTCATGGAACAGGACCTGGAGCGTTCCGAAGAGAAGGTCGAAATGAACGAAAGGTTTGTCTTGCCGGTTGCGCCACGGCTGCACAGTTGCTTTTTAACGATTTCAATAACAACAATAATAACAGAAAAGTGAGGAGGACAAGGCGATCGATCGATGACAGAAATGTGATCGACTGCGCGACGAGGACCGGTTGCAGTCAAGTGCGCAAATTACAAGGTCTTTCGTCAATCGATCGTCTCCGCTTTCCTCAGTGACAACATCCGAGTGTCCGTTTACATTCAACTGATTCGATTTCTTTTTCTTCTTTTTATTTGCGTCTGACCTTACAACTTACAGCAAGATCGTTGAGCTTGAGGAGGAGCTGCGTGTTGTCGGTAACAACCTGAAGTCGCTGGAAGTCTCGGAAGAGAAGGTATGGACTATCTTGTACATAAGTGTGTGCATTTACCGAACTTCTGTAGGGCAATTTACGTCGATGGTTGGCCGATGTTGTTGGCCAATTCTCGACTTGAAAACTGTCATTACAGAATTCTAGAGATTACCCATTCGCTATAACGAAACTTCGAACTCTGACTCTTAATCAACTCAGCACAACAGTTACAAACATTATTTCTTCAGTTTTGACCACAATTCTCCCCAAACTTACTTCACATGATGATTAATTTGATTTTTCTCAATTTTACGTTATTCCTAAAAAAAAAACAAAAAAACTTTCGACTATGTATGACTTACCTCTGAAATTAGGCTAACCAACGTGAAGAGGAGTACAAGAACCAGATCAAGACCCTCACGACCCGTCTAAAGGAGGTACACACCAAAAAGAATATCTCGCAGTGTTCCATTTTCCGTGTGTCGCTTTTCAAACTGAATTTTATTGTGTGTGTGCCTCAATCGAATTAACCTCGAAGATGTCAGAACATTCGTCTCCACATTTGTCCCATCCCTCAGGGACAATCGTTTCCAACCCAATTCTACTAATCGAATGATTTTTGAGATAACCGTTGTTTTCTTTTTCTTCTTCGTTACATTAAAACATTCAAACGGAAATACGATCGCTAACCCCCCTCCGTTCTTGATCTACTACTTACAACCCGTGTATCTTGATGTGTCGTTGTGGTTACCGTTGCTGATGCTGCTCCTGCACAATAATACCAATTGCAAAACAACAACCGACATTACGCTACTAACAACAATGGCAACAAACCAACAAATGCAAAATATCGAACGAAATCGATATCCGGCCTGGTTTGGCTGCTGCTGCTGCTGCTGTGTGCGCGCACGTGTGTGTGTGTGTGATATTATTTGCGCTCATCTTCGATACGACGTGGATCGATGGATGTTACACCAGGCAACGCAAAGAGAGGAAACGTACGGCGGCCAAGTGAGAATACTGGATCAGCGTCTGAAGGAGGTATTGTTTTACAGCGTCAAGGCAGCATCGATCAATATAATTGCACGCAAAACTATAGCTACAGCAAGCAAACGATTCTATCTGTATCTGGAGTTTGGGTCCTTCGAGTCTCTGTCTGTCCCTGTCCTTGTTTTGTTAGAAATGCGTAGGCCTGGATCGGGTTCTTCTATGTTCTGTGCAGTATTTCATCTATTTATTTCAGTGTTCATCACTCCTCTGTGTGTAGTTATTTGTAGAAGTAGACATTCTTACTGTGTACATTCATTTCCTTCCAAGTCTTGTGTGCCCTGTTTTATGTCGGTTGATTGCGGGAAATCGAATAACCGAACTTTTCCAAATGGTTGAAAATCGTTGAAATGAATAATTTGAAGTCACAATGTAACTCAATTCTTCCTTTTTTTAAATATGTTAAGGAACACTTCTTGAGTGTCATACTTTTGTCTTGTCTTTTGTCTATATATCAGAGAATCTCATAACTTTGAAATAAATCTTAAACTAATGTTAACCTTGACAGAAGTTTGATGTCGGTGTGCGTTAGCTCCAGGCTACTGGCAGCCGTTCACAGAGATTGACAGTAGTCTCTAAACCATACGAAAAATTCTTGTAAAAGTCTACGGATCCATTTCAGATATAAAAAATGAGCTGAGAGCCGGAGGTTTTCAAAGTTATGAAGTTTATGCTATATGCTGCATTATAAACATTGAGTGATTTAAAAATCTTTCATTCAGAGTACTCCGGGACCGGCTGGATGTCCAAAAAAATTTATAAAATTTTGCCTTAAAACGGAAGAAATTGAGCTGTGCGTCTTAGGCTTTCAAAATCATGAGATTTAGACTAAAGACAATCAAAATATGCCACATGGTAAAATCTGTGTGAATTAACAATCTCATCCCATTAAGAGTGCTCCGGAATCTGCTTTAGATGTCCAAAGCGTGACCAATATTGCACAAAAATAGCATACAAATAAGCTGGTAGTCTAAGGTTTTCAAAATTATGAAAAGTTTTATGACGCATGATATAATCTGAGTAAATTTTACAGTTTTCAAAGACATTCTACGAAATTACGTTCATGAAAATGTGTTTGCATTCAGGCAATACCGGAACACAGTGAGCACATTTTCATTGACAGAATATTGATTTTAAACGAAAAAAACTGCTTTTGAATTTTCGAAAATTAATGACTCACAGTGGTCCAAAACTGTGAAAAGACGGTCAAAAATCATTATCTCATGACTCTTGCATTTGAGACAAGTGGTCAAAAATTCAACATTCACGATATAAAGACTTTTGACCGCCTTTTCGCAGTTCTGGACGACTGTGTGACGCCCCTTTTCCCTTATGTATGGTATGCCGCATGATAAAATATGACTGAATTCTCGTGCAACACGAAAAAAAGGCCTATCAGAGAATCGATCATCGTGGATAGGCCCTTCTCAAATGTTACGCGAGAATTGCAAATACCACTGCTTCGGAACTGGCTCCGGATGTCAACAAAAAGGGCAATGTGGTCCAAATTCGGAACAAGTTGAACTGAGCGTCATAGTTATACAAAGTTTGACAAGCCGCATGTTTACATGTTACTGAATTAAACATCTCAACCCATTCAGGGTCCTTCGGATCAATTTCTGGATGCATAGAAATTGGTCAATATTGCCTAATAATGCTAAGGATTGAACTCGAGGTCTTAGGTTTTCAAAATCATGGAGTTTATTAGGCCGCATGATCCAATCCTGAATGTCCAAACCATGACCTATATTGCAAAAAACACAAGAAATTGAGCTGGGCTCGCTAGTTTTTCAAAATCACGCAGTTTGATCAAGACACATAATTAAATATGAGTGAATTTATACATTTAAAAGATTTGGGCTTTTTTGAATTTTAAAAGAATCATGAAAAAATCCAAGCGAATATCTAACTTGAATAAAAAAATGGCCAGTTTGGTCCAAAAACGCAATTGTTTAAAAATTGGTCAATATTGCCTTTAAAAGCTATGGTCTGAGCTGATTCAAAATCATGGAAATTACTAATCCACATGATAAAACCCACACGTTCGATTATAAGCTTGGGGTCACCTAAAAAACATGTAACTGTGTTTTGTTCATAGCATTTGAGCATTTGTAAATTATATTGACCTTTCAAATGACCTAAAGAGAACGAAAATTGAACGTTAAATGACAGAGATATATATAAATTCAACCTAATTCAGAGTTTTTTGGAACCGGATATGGTTGTCCAAAACAAGGCCAATGTTGCTGAAAAGTGCAATAAATTGAGCTGCTCACCCTAGGTTTGGTTTATTCTGATTGATTTGAAAGTCTGGACCCATTCAGAGTCGTCTGGATCTGGTTGGATGTCATAGAAAATGGACAATATTACTCTAAAACGGAAGTAATTGAGCAGGGTTTTTGATAGTTTTAACACAGGCATACATACGTAACTCTTTCCATAACGTTTTCCTTCAAACTATCGTCACGGAGCTCACTAATGACATCTCGCGAGCTATTCGCAGAAAAAGCTTGCTTGTCAAGTCTCAAACAATGTTGCCTACAAGTTTGATAGAATGTATAAAAACGTCAAAGTGGTCCAATGCCAGCGCTGTGGTAGAGGATTCGCGAACTAATAATATTTATATTTGCGTGTACGACGTTTGAGGATTAATAGTCATACATTCTCATTCATATTTATTTCCTGTCTAGTTGTTTGAACAGTACTGTATTTTTTAATCAAATACGGCAAAACCTTGCCTTACCCGAATATATGTTACATTTTCAAAGTCTTTGATCTATTGCAATCCATGTTAAGATGCAGGTAGAGGTTGATTAAATCTCACGATTTTTTTTCCACTAAAGCAGAACACAATCCGCAGCCGTTTCACAAATCGATTTCTTATCGGACGACCGGTGTTGTCCAATCAAAAAATGTCTCCATATCTTATCTGGTACACGGGATACTCTCAATTCATGCCTGGAGGAGGTGAAGGGAGTGATCTGTTTTCTGTACACTCGAACGAAGAATTGGTTTTATTGTGCAATATAAAACTGCGGTTTCATTTTTCAGATTGCTTGCGAGTGTCGAAATTCGTTGGAATTCTTTGTGACGTAAAAAATGATTCGTTTTGAGTTGGAATTCGAATGATTTACTATACAAACACTGCTTTATGTACATGCACTGAGCAAATATTTACCTTAAAAGCTACATTGTGATCTCAACCATTCAGTTTCTAAATGCGTCTACCTCCATCGTATGTCTAGTAAATAAATTGGGTTGAAAGTCTTCCCATCTATTCTGGTTGCGGGATCTCTTCTTAATGTACAGCAAAAGTCATTTGTGACATCTCCACGTTGTGACTACTACCACTGACTTGACAGGTGACCTGCTAGAACTTCTGCGCACTGGAAAGCGAATGTGTAACCATGTAGAATCTTCCAACTACGACAACTCGTATCCACTCATAACTCAACTTTTTCCATATATTTATCCTCATTTTGCACTGACAATCGCAAAACATACACTCGGTAGGCCATGGCATCACGTGATTCGGTCGAAGATAAAATCCACCAATTGAACGATAAGTTGACCAATGTAAGTGTCGATAAACGCTACCTTTTGCCACCATCATCGTTTGGGTGGTGATAAGTAGCGTTTAGAAGTATTTTCTTTCCCTTTTGCTTCGTCCAATTCGGTTCTGTTATCATTTTCACACAATTAGGATAAAACCTGGGAAAATTAATTCGATAGTTAACGATTCGGTATATATTAACAAAATTCGGTAGCTGATGGGAGAGCCGCCTTGCGGTGAACGGGTTAATCACCTTCGCTTCGCTGGCATTGCACTCGGGTTCCAGATTAGATTTGATCAGCAATTGTCGTCGTTATTCATAAATCTGGTCTGTAGTCGAAACGGTGGAATTGGCTGTTTCCAAATGTGATAAGCGTAGGTGGTGCTATGACTACCGTCACACATTGTCAAATTCCACCGTCTTCACAGCAGGCCTGATGCGGACGTAGTCGTAGAGCTATTTATTTCTTTATTTACAAGCGGGTTATGGTTAAATCACTCAATTTAGTTCATAAGTGTTGCTTATCGGTTTTTCAAAGGTTGAGATCATTAAGTTTATCTTCTGTTCCGTCGAGGTAAGCGGTTGGTGTTTGCTTTTGTTTTGTTTTACATTCGTTTTAACCTTCCGAATTAAATTGTTCGACTAATGCATGTTAGTTTTAAGGAAAAGTTTGCTGCTTTTAAAATCACGAGTGCTTTACGATTATTGGAACAATTTTTTTGATTGGTAAAAATGACAACTATCCATCAAAAGGGTTGTTGCAAATGCTGCGAGATAATTCACCGTAAAACTTATACATTTTTTTTCTTTTCTCCCCGTGACATTTCCTCATCGCATTTCAAATGATCTTCAAACACGAAAGGCTGAAGCTCGCGCTGAATTCGCTGAACGTTCCGTTCAGAAGTTGCAGAAGGAAGTCGACAGACTCGAGGGTAAGTTTTTCGATCGGTATTTAATTTTTTTTCGAACAGTTAAAATTAACCCAATAAGTCATGAAATTCAAAAGTTTTCTATCACTAACATTACTATAAAGATAATTGTGATTTGAAATGAAATAGCGTTAAAGCCGCTGTGAATTAAGTACATTATCACAGCTAGAGTACGCATATATATACCTTTTTCGCCCACATGACAAGTAGATGGCGCTAACAAAGTTGATCAATTTTTTATTTATGACGATTATATAAGATTAACTTTATTTTGTTTTTCTTTAACATTTTCTTTTATTTTCATGTTTGATTTTTCGTTAACCCTTTTAAAACCAAAACCTTCAACCACATACCGTTTTTTGATGTTGTGTGCAATAACACCCCTGCTGCGCTGCTATACATTTCTGCGTGCGTGTTCGTGTGAACTTACCGCTATACAACAAATCGCAAACTTGTCCACAAAAAAAAAACTCTACTCTTACGCCACCACCGGCCGAATGCCGCACAACAAACAGACGATCTTATGCACGAGCGTGCAAAGAACAAAATGCTCCAGGAGGAAATGGAAGCAACCCTGCACGATATTCAGAACATGTAACTGTGGCAACCGATGCGAACACAGTAACTACTACGACTACTATACTACAACTACAAACAGCAACAAACCAATCAATCAAGTTGGCGGGATAGATGCTGATTAAGTGAAAAGTAAAAAAAAAATAATATGGACCCACTAGTCCTCGGGTGCCGTTAAACACTTTTCTCCGGACAGCATTGTTGTTCTACTTTGCGCGTCGCTGCTGTTACTCATCGCGTTATTTGTAGCTGTCACGTCTTTTTTCTGGTTGAAAAAAGATTCACTTAACATTCTACAAGTTTACAGTTAAGGATGAATCTGTAGCACACACACACACACTTACCAACACACAAACACATACCAACACAAAAACACGTAAACACAATCGAGAAGAAAACTAGGAATGTTTAAGAGGGCGACATCTACCGGGTCTTGACCGGTAGCTTGCTGCGAACGAATTGTACATTCACATGCCAAGGAAAAGACAAACATTCCGCGAACATTCACAAATCTTTTGAGGTCAATCAAGAAAGACATTTTTCTCTTGTTAAGTAGAAAGTAGTAAAGGACACCTTTCATCTAATAGGATATAACCGTTACTGCCCTTTATTTTACTGGAATAATCCCCCATCCTTCCGATTGTTTTGCAATTTATTATTATTTCTCTTTCAAAGCAAATTTTCTCTTGTCTTCCGGTTGCCTTGCGTTTCGTAGTAGAGTTTATTTAGATAACGCGCATTTAAACGTCAATCAAATGCATTTATAGCAACAATTTTGAAAGATGAAAAAACATGAACAAATCAAGTTTAGAGTGTGTGTCAACAAAGGCAGCAAAAATAATTAAAACGATGATAGAAATAATCAGTAATAATAAATTGCACAAAAAATGGAACACTCTCCAGATAAGTTACACCCATAGAGTTTTAAGTAGTTTGAAGCAGTCGAATCGATGATACGTATATGTGTATTTACTGAAATTGTAGAAACGGGAAATCAGATCATGGAAAAACAGTTTTGACAGAACACGAACGTCTACTCTCGTCGCCTTACTTTCATTTCGGTAGGATTTTACACTTGAGTCCTCTTCTTAATTTTAGTTTATTATGTTTCTTTCTGCAATAAGTTATCCCTATTTTTTATTTAGTTCGGAACAGAGAAGATTAAATGAAGAGTAATTTATGAGAAAGCAGTTTTAACGGATAATTTTAAGGATCAGCATGAGATATTTCAGAAGAAAGGAAACTGTCGGCGGTGAAAAATTGATCGGAAGAATTGTATGGGAACGCGTTAGTTAATCTGTTAATGTGCCTTCAACTGTCATTTTGGGAAGAGATCCCCTTTTCCGATTGATTTTGAGCCGCATTTAATTGGAAATTTTGTGGCATAGCCATTTTGAGAGTATTTTTTGCTTTTCTTTCATCGGAAGCTAAACTAAGCGCAGTAAGTTGTAAGGACCGTGTACATTCAATTCCACCAAGTCCATTCCACAAATGAACACAAAACACACAAACATTCTCTGTACGTAATTGCATACCTTCGGCGGATCCTGCGGAATCAGATTGAACTGTATGTAAGAATGTACACGTAGACTTCACGATCAATACTGTTTAGCATTTAGGAATTTAAAAAGCATTCATTTCAACTTTGCCAATAAACCAGCAAGACCAACAACATCAACAACAACAACAACAAAAAGAAACTACAGCAACTATAAAATGATATCATATTTGAGTGTTTATAATAATATATTATTTTATTTAAAGCCGAGTTTGCCTGCGTTTTATTCTGTGTATATGCGTTTCCTCGTTTTAGTCTGAGTTCTATCCTACATTTTCTTTCTCTTATATTTATCGCTTCTGTTGTGCTTTTCTCTTCTCTTAATTTGCGTAACATTCGTTAAATCCAAATATAAACATAACCACCACTGCGCCAAATAACCGACATCGCGGCACCCGACAGACGAACTGATTATCGAAAAGATTCGCTTCGCCGAGATCGGCGACGATCTGGACTTTGCCTTCGTCGACCTTATTCCGGGAGTCGATCCCATCTGGACCGAGCGTCGCCCGAAGCCGAAGACTCCACCACCACCACCAAAAGTGGCAACTCCACCACCAGCAAAGGAGGAACCGAAACCAGCCGAAGCTGTTGCCGCCAGCGAAGCTACAGTGGAAGGTGCGGCGGCTGCACCAGAAGCAGCCAAAGCCAGATCTCCAAGCCCATTCGAGCTGCAGAAGCACTTCCCTCCAGAGGGTGCCGAAGTACCATATGTCCGCTCTGCCACCGGAACGACGCCTCCGCGAGACATTCCCGGCGAGGCAGTTTCGGCCGAGGCTGCTCCACCAGCGGAAGGTGGCGAAGCTGCACCACCAGCAGAAGGAGCTCCGGCTCCCGCTGAAGGTGAAGCTGCTCCTGCTGCCCCTGCTGAGGGTGAAGCTGCTCCTGCTGCTGAGGCTGCGCCAGCCGAAGCTGCCCCAGCCGAAGAAGCTCCTGCAGAAGCTGCCCCAGCGGAAGCCGCCCCAGCTGAAGAAGCGCCTGCGTCCTAAACCATACCTTCAAAATATCGCTCACTCTCACCTTCCTGAATCTATTTTTTATTGTTTCCGTTTAACTTTCATTTAACGTGTATCGCACGGTGGATGTTGTTGCGCTGGTTTAAAGATAACAAAAAAAAAGTAATAAGAAGAATGGTTCTCAATTTTACCGCTAAATACCTCACTAGTTGACACTCTTGTTAGACCAGCCTAAATTTTCACTGTTTAACTGTCTATCTCTCACTTTTTTTACTTTCAAATATAAAAACCCAATAATTGCTTGATTATTTTGTAATGTGCTTTGGTTCGTCATTTCACGGTAGCATTCGCGCTTTTGTTGTAGTAGTCCGTTGGAAATGTAGATGTAAGTGGAAATGAACGAAAAAGAAATCATCCCACATCCTTACAGGTCGTTATCGGCGAGGGGAAAAGTGCTCCGCGGATGGGAAACGGTTGGGATTTATCATAGGTCACTTCACGGTGGAATCTTTGTTTTGATTTTGTATGGAATATTGACATTTACTGGCCTTGTTGTTTACAATTTTATATAGGGGAAGTTCATTCTATAGTCACTATACTCATAGTCTGGTGGATACAATGGCGCGAGCCAATTTGAACCATCACTTGCCGGAGCCAATCGAGCATGGCATTTTATTATTGGAACAATGTTATGGAAGTATTGTGATCGGCGGCCTTGCCGCGATGTAGAGTAAGAAATTTCCGCGCAAAGTAAACTAGCTTATTTCTTCTATTGTCACTCAGATGGCTCTAGTGTGTGTGCTCACTTTTCACCGCTGGAGTTAATCAAAAATAACAGTTTGTTAACTGTCAAATTCATATGGTATGAAAAAGTGTTGGTGAATCTGTAATATAAAGTGGCCGTTAAATTTGCTGCGCTAGAATTCGTGATGATGGTCAAGTAGCCATGTTTGGAATACACACCAACACTCATTTGTTAATAACTTTTCACTCAGTTGTTAAAATGTGTTTTTCTTTAAAGTTATTGATAGATTAGGATCATAGTTCACTATAGATATGCAAAGAATAGGTAAATCTTAACATTTGAATCAACGCCAATGATTTTTTACAAGTAAAGTATGAGATGTGACTTAATTTTAATAACGCAAAAACAAATACAGTTTATTGCTAGAATTAAAATCTACTTGTTTTTACGTATCTATAACAAGCTTAAACTCTATTCTATCTACTGCTTTAAAAAGAACTATGTTACGTCAACTGTGTGCGAAGTTATTAGCAAATGAGCAATTGGTGAGTACAACTGTGTATGCCAAGCATGCAAGTAGCTGACAGAAATTGAAATCACTTTAGGTGGCAATTTATCAATGCATTCCTGAATGCACTATATTTGCATTTTTCGTTGAGAATATCGATGCGACTAAAGGCAACAAAACATATGCATATGTATGTGTTGATGAGTGTAAATTTATAAATATTTTGTTTGAACATTTCCTTCTATTCCATATAAAATTGTTGACAGCTCAAAACGAAAACGAACATTTTCACGGGGTGCCAGATTTTTATTTCAAAAATCAAAGTTGCCAGTTTGCCGGAAGTTGAATCTGGAAGGCTATGAATATAGTGACTATAGTTCATTCGTGTTCATTCCGTGCAGTGACCTATATATTTTTTAGGAAGAGTTTAGGGACGTTCCATAAATGACGTAGCATATTTTGAACCAATTGTGGATCCCCTCCCTCCCCTCGTAGCGTATTTTGCTATACCTTATACATGGAACGTTAAATCTTTAACCCCCCTACCCTAAATGCTACATCATTTATCGATGTTTCCTTATTGGAATTCAGGATTAGGTTCACACGTAAGAATTCGTGAGCGAGCGGGGTACCAGAGAATATTTGAGAGACGTACGATGTGCATGAGAGAGCACACGTGAAGCCCGCGTGCAGTTGGACGTAGAGCACATTCCGATGCGTGCTTCTCGGGGTCTTATAATCAGGTCATTAATAACAAATAAATGTGTTCAGGACTGTGTTATTTCAAGCCACTTTGCACTTTGTTGGTTTTTATGTGTTACATGTTGTTTCAAATTAATTTTGGAAAATTCATTCAGTTTCTTCAGTTTTTTTTTCAGTAGTCCTCAAATGTTGCTTTTTGTGTGGCCTTTCAGATGCCGTCACAAGATTGAAATTATCTTTCCATCGTCTTGATATTAACATGACTACATGGTTTTTTGGGTAAAAGTTAACACTTTTGAATGTCAAGGTATATCAACAAAGTTCAAGTTTCAAAAAAGTTCAAGCTGTTTCATTGAACACAGTCAATATCGAGTCACTTCGTTGAAGCTAGCTCGGAATAGAACTCGTGAGTATCGCTCGTATTTGGTTGAATGAACAGTAGTACACTCGGAAAAAACCATACATTTACCATACAATAAAATACAATCACAACAGGGTCATGTGTATCATACAAGTACATTTAAAATATTGATATTACAATAGATCTACAATGCAACCCATATAGTATGATAAGATACATAACAACTCCCTTGTTATATTTTAGATTTCCTCATTTACCATAGATTCCATTGTGGATACAATAAATTCTATGGTTATTTATCGTTGTCGGCAATACGATTTATTGTAAATACAATTAACTTAATTGTACAATGTTACCATACATTCAATTGTAGCTCTATGGTAATTTTTTTTACCGGCAAGCAACTCGAAATAGCTCTGATCAGAAAAGTTTGCGGTAGCTAGCAGGAATTTGGTTTTACTACAACGATTTTTTTTTCTTTGCCGTGAAAAAGGCAAAAACAAAATAGAAGTTTACTTTCACTTGAGTTACAAAGATGTTATTGGTTTCTTTTTTATTTGGCTTAGGAAATCATTCTGGAGAGAGTTTTAAGAGGTGTGTAGATCCAAGCATTCGTCAAAAATGGCTTTAAAACATCAAACTTCATAATTGCATAAAACTTGTTAAAATAGCATTAAAACCTTGTCTGTGTGTGTAGTCAATCCAACACTGGCCATCAGTGGTATTATGGCTGAAATCTGCTAGCAATACTCTTCGAAGCTACAATTGAAAGAAGCTTTAGTTCGGAAGTTAATAGGTGATCCAGATTCATGATACTGCAGATCCAGCAACACATTTTAGAATACCTGGTCATTCATGTCCATTCCGAGGTCACTTTCACATACAATAAGCCCCGCATGTTAACATAACTATTATCATACACGGAGATGAAAAACTACCCAAAATTAAGTACTTTTCCCTCAATTCCCGTTCAATAACTCAAATTTGAGTAAATCGCATATACTAGTTTTCATTTAACACCGGCAAACAAAAAATACTTACTCTTAAGTATATTCTACCCAAAATTAAGTTTATTTCACGTAAATTTGAGAATATGCAATTTACTCAAAAGTAACTTATTGGGCTGAAATATATCGTTGAGTAGAATCTCTCGTTCCTTTTTTGACAACAATAACGATTTCAAGTGAGAGGCTTAATCAAAATTAAGAAAAAAAAAAACTCAAACTTTGGGTAGTATTTTTCCTCCGTGTATGGGTAATGGTTTTGCAAACACCCTTCCAAATTTAGGAACGTGAAGATTCGATATATGGCATGTATTTAGCAGTATTTAATTTGGACATAGGCATTCATAATTGATTTATAATCATAGAGATTTCATCAAATTCTGCCTAAAAATCATTTCTTTCCTATTTGTTATAACAACCCAACACATCAGCGGCGCCGATGGTGCAGTGTTACGCGTGACTTCCTCTCACTCCTAAGGGCCTTTGTTCATTCCCAGTCGATGCAGTCGGGATTTTCTGAGACATAAAATCTCTGATCAAGTAGGGAATTAAAGCCGTTGGTCCCCGGTCCATGAGTTGATGGGTGATAGGTAGGGTCTAGGTGTAGGAGCTGCCTCCTTAGCGTCGAAAGCATTGGTGCTCAGTACGGAAAACACGATCGACGGAAAGCGAATCAAAGAAAAAAAACGCATAGCATTTATAAACACACGCGACTTTATTGAAACAGTTTCCGGGCGTCAAAAATTCACCAGCTGAAGGAGTTTTACATTTTTCTTACTAAATTTTCTTTAAACATTCAGTAAAAGTTGCCAAAAATAAAGCAAGCAAAAAACAACATTATCACGTGGGAAACGCCAAAATTGCCAATAAATCGCCAAAAATAGCATTAACATTCATAGATGGAATCCAGATTTAAAATTCAGGTAAATTTCAC